TCCTAAAGAATAGGAAACGGATATGAGAATTACATTTATTTATCTAAAGGGTTCACCCTGTGGAGTTTCCCAAAACAAAGGTTGTTGAGACTACAGCTCTATTTATATTACAGCTCAGATTCACATTTGTATAAAAGGTCACAGTGATTTAGGGGTGGGGGTGGGAGGAATGGGCTGGAGAGGGAAGGTCTGCCCATGGGAAGATTAGTTGGAGGGCTAGCTACAAGGCTCTACAAGGCATCAACAAGGACATATCTAGACCAGACCAGGACCACCCAGAGACACAGCAACCAACCTCAGGAAGAGCCTGCTCTGTCCCAGGTACCTTCCTGAAACCCCACCAATTAGAGATTTAAGCATATCATTATGTCAACAAATATTTTTGGCATCCGCCAGTGTCATCAGTCATTATAGGGGATAGAAAGATAACTAACACAAGGTCCTTGCCCTCAAGTATCTTACTATGTGGTAATGGAGATGAGTCACACAGAGATAAGTATCATGTGCACCACAAGAAAAAGGAGGTATAAACCTAGAATTGTCGATGTGAAAGGAGGAAGAAATTACTTGTTACTTCTGCTGGAAGTCCTATGTAACCTGATGATTTAATGTTGATAGGTGGAGATGAAGTGAAAAGCATTTTAGTGGAGGGAATAGTATGAACAAAGGTATAGAAAACAGAGAGCGAGAGCAAGAAAAGCATATTTAAGGAAGAATGAATGAGCGCAGGCTGGAATTAAGCTCTGGGAAGGAAAGTGAGAAGAGATAAAGCAGGAAAAATATGGACTGACAAGTTGTCTTTTTAAAATGGAAACACTGAAGGGAGGTGCGAGGGAGAAGAGGGTCAATAGTAATCACTGTCTTTCACAGATTTGTATCAATTTGCACGATTTTATCTTGAGAAAACCACAGCTGATTACTAAACAGGCATTGTGTTGGCTTTGAGGGAGCGTGTTGAAAGAATGCTTGTAGGAAGGCTAGCTCTGGTGAGGAGCTGAAGCTAAGAGCAGGACGAGCAAAAGGCGACAGGCTACCGACAAGTGCATTGACAAAAGAAATGAAGGCAAAGAAGTGTGAAGGTTCCCAAATCTCTCCTCGCAGCATTTAAGCTGAGATCACCTAGCTAGCCCGTAGGTATCTGCATCTGTCTTATCACCGATGTTTGTATTTTCAATAAAATATTCGAATGCACCTGGGAAAAAATCCTGGAGAGATAACACCAAAGTCATAGGTGTTACTGGAGTTAATTCATTTTTTTAAACGCACACGATCCTGTCACATAGAAGACACCCAAATATGTTTCATAAATGAACGTTTATTCTTTGTTTTAGAGACTATATTTAGGATAGGAAATGATTCTAAACTGCATTCTAAACCTATATCCTCTGTTAGCACCTAAGTTGTGAAGACCTGGCCCAAAAGGTCGGATTTTCCCCTTTAAAACTTGGGTTTCGTGCCCCTCTGACCAGTCCCCTAGGTCAGTATCACAGCGGGCGGGGGGGGAGGGGTGTCGATGTTCTCATAACCAATCGCTGCGGGGCCAAGGGGCGGAGCCACAGCGCCCCGCCCCCTCCCCAATCACCCTCCCCGCCCTCACAGGTCCGGCCTCCTTAGCACCTGCGTGTCCGCCGGCGCACTGGCTGTGCCACCGCTCCCTCCTGGGCTAGCGGGAAAGGGGTTTGGCTTCACCTCTCGCGAGATCGCCTGGTGCCGCTGCGGCCGCTGCTCCGGGGCGCTGACTGGCGGCGTCTGCGCAGCCGCCATGTTCGGTTGCTATGCTGTGGCCTGGGAGACGGAGTGTGCTTGAGGGAGGAGGAGGAGACCTGGGAGGAGGAGGAAGAGGGGGAGGAGGCGAGGGAGGCGGGAGACTGAGCGCCTCTCGCATTCGCACTCAGCAGCGCAGCCCGAGAGTACCCGCTCGCTCGCGCCGCGCGCTTTTCCGCTCCTCACGGCCCCCCCATTGTTCTCTCAGGACGGCCGAGGGTCGGCGGTTGGGGGCCGGGCCCCTCCCGGTGCTCCCCTCCCCCACGGCACTTTTGGGGGGTGCGGATTAGGTCATCCCCGCAGGGAGGTGGGAGCGCGTCCTCCGGTCTCAATTCTTCTCCAGCCGGGAGGACGCGGCTGTGACCCGAAGGTAAGAGGCTCTCGGGTGTCGTGCGCGAGGCTGTTACCTGGGGCGAGTGTGGCTCTTGGGAAGCGAGCCAGGTAGGGCCATCCCGCGGTGCCAGGTTAATTTAAAAGGCAGGGGAAAGGGGGGCCCCCGGGCCCCCGCACCATCCAGCCCTCCTTCCGGTAGGTACCTCTGCTCTCGGCCCCCGGGGTAAGAGTTGAGATCTGTGACAGGTGAGCGGAACAAGGGATGGGATGGTTGCGGGAATGGGTGAGCCACGGGACCCAAACTCCAAGGAAGGTTTTAGAATCTTCTGAGTTTTACAGCGCTGATAGGAGGCCCCCTTTTATTTTTTATTTTTGATTGGCTCACATGAGCGCGGCTTGCAGGCTGCATAGACGGACTCCCTACGGTTGAAGTTTGTAAGTTTCATGATCCCACCGGTATGTACTTGCATTTAAGAATCTGTAGTTGGGGCAAAAAAAAAAAAAAAAGTTGAGATGTAGCTAAAGAGACGTACCGATGCATTTCGCAGCGGTTCCTTAAAATGGAACAGCTTACAATTGAGCAGATAATGTTTGCATGTTTCTGAGAAACTTAGAATGGGATTGGGGTTGCATTATTTAGGGGCACCACTACGATCTGCACCAGGACCATCTGTAGGATTTTCAAGCCCGTGTTCTAGGAGAACCTGTACATATACAGTATGCCAACTGCTTTTCGAATCAGGAAATTGGAACGCTAATAGATTTATGTGACCAGATTTTAGACCCAGTTAAGAAAATGCAGTTTAAAACATGTTTGGGGGTGGAGGGACCCCAGAAAACAAATGTATTCTTCTTGTAAAAGACGGTTTAAGTAGAAAGGAAGACTGGCCTTTTTAAAAAAAAAAAAATCCTGATTTTGGATCCTTAAGGAGCCTGAGAAAAAATTATTCTTTTTTTTTTTTTAAAGCGGGGAGTAGACAACCTTAAAATAAATGATTATTCAGAGCCCAAAGTGTGCTTAATGGGAGAGAGATAGGTATATCAGTTACATCTTGAATTTGATGAATATAAATTCAACCTATAAATTAAAAAAAAGACTTTATAAGCAAATGTTTGTGTATTTGTACAGAATGTCTTTACTAACTCGTAATAAAAGAGTGCAATCATTTTGTGGACCCCACCATTTTTGGTCAGAATAAATTCGTGCTCCAATTTACCACAAAAAAACCCTTCTTTTTTTTTAATGGCACACATATCTTTGTTACTGTTTTTGCACTGAAACATGTGCGTGGTCCCATAATATGAACTTGAGTGGTTTATAAGAAGAGAAACATGTTTTTGTTTTTGTACATGGGAATATTTGTTATTTAGCTCATCTATTTTAAACATTTGGCAAAAGATTTTGAAAACACAAGGAGCCACAATTTTGTAGTTTGTAAATAATATCGAGTAGTTTAAAGTTTATTAAGATAGAAAAATCACAGGTTCCTCAAAAGCAGCAACGAATGAGGATATGCCTTCCTTATTGCTTATTTTCTAACCTGCTTAGCTTGTGGGTATTGAATTGTTTCAGACTTTTTTTTTCTTGTGTTCTAATTGAATGTCTTCAAATGTTCCTAGTAACTTTGTTACTTTAAATTTGTGACACCCAATTTCTAATTTAGGCTAGGCATAAAACCAGCATTGATTGAACACACTTGCTAAAAATACTTTCTGGGTCAGATGTATTCAGAATGCAGCCTCAGGAAAATTCATTGGAACTATTCTACCGTGACCAATGTACACTTCATCATTATTGAAGGATTTTAAAAAAACTATAGACTCTTACACAGTTAGGTTATATAAGTTCAGGCATAGAAGCCTTTTTTTTTCCCTTAATGTATAAAATACCTTATGTGGGATAGTAATAAAAACCTAAATAATTTTCTTAAATATGTGTGCACCCCCATGGATTATTAAACTCTGTGATTTGTATATTAAACATCTTTTAGTTTTGTCTACTAAACATAATTTGAGTTGTAAAGGACTGTACAGTATGCAGTGTTATCTACTTCCTATATATGACATTCTAAATTCTGTAAGGGGATCAGTGGTTTTTTAGTAATCTTTAAGGAGCAAAATAAGAGACTACCAGATAACTTCAAGGAGACGCTGTTATTGACTGTTGTTGAGAGGACTTTTGTTTTTCCCCTCTGAAAGTTAATATGGTCAGTTTTAAATAACGTTTTAAAAAATATGTAGAAATTTGTTGGGTGGAAGTTTTGTTTGGTGGAAGTTTGGTGGAAGTTAAGATATATGTTTAAAAGTTCTGCTTTAATTCTTTGTTATTAGGAATGTAAAATTGGTAATCTCACTAGAAACGGCAAGTTATGTGACTTTAGCTAAATATGAATTGTTCCTTCTAAATAAAATATAGTATTGGCAGAAATTTACTGGTTATAAACTGAGTTGAATTTTGTTGTTTTTCTGGGTTAATAACATGCATGTTGTAAAGTTTTTTATATGCTGTAGTCTAGTTTTGTTAAATTTGTCAGTTCACTAGATTAAGCTGTGAAGCCTTGAATACTGGTTTAGCATTCTGGAGATCCGCCCCCCCCCCCCCCCCAAGTAGTACTGTAGGGGGAAAGTGTTATTTCTTCATTTAACATCCAGTTATTAGTACAGATGGTGAGAAGTAGAAATGTTGTAGAATCGACTTTATTGGTGTAGAATTACATTACTTATGAACAGTGTAATATATTTTCCTTTGTATGATCAGTCAGTATAGTGATATTTAAAATAGGATGGAAAACAGAGGGGCAATTTATTCCATTCTCTTCCACTTTATTAGAGGCATTTCCCTCTACATTCATTCTTAATTTCATTATTCCTAAATAGAAGCACTGGAAGAGAGATGCAAGTATTTGAAGAAATTGGCAGGAAAAGAAGAAAATTAGGTACTGTGGATTATCTTGAAGGGAAGGAAGATACTAATTTGGGTGAGTTATTGTGTTTGTGTCTTTTAACAAGGAGGTTATATTGAGGAGTAGGGGAAAAAAGGATCCAGAAGGGAAGTGTTTATTGTCTTTTATGTGCCAGACAGTATAAAGGGGCTTTTCGTGTTATCCCACATAATCTTCAAGTACACTTTGTGAGGAAGGTATTAATAATCTCCTGCTTTTCCCTTCTCCTCCCCAAATGAGGGCAAGGAGAAATTAATTTGTCTAGGATCACACTGCTAGTAAGTAGGATTCAAATTAGGTCTGTCTGGCTCTGAAGCTTATTCTTTAGATCATGGTGCCAGGTGAACTTTCTGCAGTGATGGAAGTACAGTAAGTCTAAGTCCTCACTTAAAGTCATAGATTGCTTCTGTGACTTTAAGGAAAATGACGTATAATGAAACCAATTTTACCATAGGCGAACTGATATAAAAAAGGGTTAAGTTTTTAAGGCATCTCATCAACAAAACAGCATTAAACTAAACGACGTTATTCTTTTTTTCTGCACTGTCAGATGTGGTAGCCATGTGCGGTATGGAACACTCAAAAATGTGACTATCGTGCCCAAGAAACTGAATTTAAAATTGTATTTAATTTTGGCCCTGGCAGGGCAGCTCAGTTGGTTAGAGTGATGTCTGATACACCAGGGTTGCGATCCGGATCAGGGCACATAAAAGAGTCAACCAGTGAATGCATAAATAAGTGGAACAACAAATCAATGTCTGTCTGTCTCTCTCTCTCCCCCTTAGTCTCTCTAACAATCAATTATAAATTTAAAACATTTGTATTTAATTTTAACCAGTTTAAATTTAAATAACCAGATGTTGCTAGTAGCTACAATATTAAACAACACAGCTTTAGATCTTACTGCCTAGAAAATCTGAGTTTTAATTTTTTAATATTGAATATTTTAGCTGTATATGACATTAGGCAAGTTATTTAGTTCTTGAGCATCAATTTAATTCATTTTGAAAATGAAGAGGTGGTCACTAAAAGGTTATCTCCAGCATCCTTCTTGCTCTAAACTTATACTCCCTCTGTCCCATAATGATAGTAGCAGATGATGAATGTAATTTGTCCCATAATAATAGTAGCAAAAGAAAATAAATATAGAATGCAACATTTATTATCAAAAAAGTAGATTAAATTAAACAATAAATTAAAAATAGTACTCCTAATTTTTATTTTGTGTGTTCAGATAGTTTCTGGATTTTTCAACAATTCCGTTACTGCATTTTAAACTTGTAGGTAGGATCCCTTGGCTGCAAAGCTTTGCTTTCCCTATATGCATGAGATTAAAATTATTGGAGCCATCGTTCTTCATTGCTTCCAGCATAACTTGTTGAAGTGACAGAAACGTATTATCCAGTATTTCGGGAGAAATATTATCAAAGGCTAATATGGTGCCTCTTCTGCTAAGAGGAATATGTCTAAGTTTTTCAAGTTTTTCTCTATAATCTTTGCATTTACGTCCACAGTTTTGTTTTTTCAAAGAATCAATATTAGCATAAGATTCTCCTTGACAATTATTTTCGGAAACACGTTTCCAAATCCTTGATATGGTCATTCTGTTGCACTTAAATTGTTTTGCAGCTAACGTAATTGCACCTTTCTGCAACTTTTCCTTTTTCTATTGATGCATCAATAACTGGACAATTGCAACTCGATCTTTGCTTGAAAACTCTTTTTCATCTTTTACAATGGGTTGATATTCAACTGAAATAAAACAATTGATTTCTATCAGCGGATGAAATTAGAAAAATAGTTATAATTCGTAATAATTAGATTAACCTAAAAATTGAAAGATGTGTCAAAACAAATGACAGATGTCATGAAATATTGATTTTGATTGAAGGCTTCCTAATTTTGCGCTACAACATAATTTACAGCTTCATTCGCCAATAATTCCCGTTTTAATATTCATTTGCTACTATTATTATGGGACAGAGGGAGTATGATTATTAAAATGTACAGTGGCATTTAATATTCAGAGACATATCTGAAAGGCCTTCCTCCCCAATATACTCACCCATTATATAAAGACTAGAGGCCCGATGCACGAAATTCATGCAAGAGTAGACCTTCCTTCCCCTGGCTGCCGGCACCAGCTTCCCTCTGGCTCCCGGGACCTGGGCTTCCCTCCAGCCACAGGCAGGCACCTGGGACCTGGGCTTCCCTCACAGCCCTGGCTTCATCCAGAAGGTTGTCCGGAAGGATGTCTGGTCTAATTAGCATATTACGGTTTTAATATTATGGATTTTTATTGTTTAGTCAGTTTCTCTTTTTTACCAGAGTACGTATAAAAGATAATGGATTATTCCTCTCCATCCCCAGTTGTTTGGTGAAACACTGTGTAACCAAAGGCAGTACCTTGGAACAAAGTTTGGATCTTTAAAGACCATATTTCAGCATGCTACCTTCCCATTTAAGAATATGGTATAGTTCTCTGTTGCTTATCAAATTAATACCAAACTTATCTGCTTGGCCTTGAAGGCTTTCCACCAACTTCATCTCACCCTGCTTCTTCTTGCTTAAAAAGAAAACATTTTTGTTTTTTCCTTTGCCCTTGATTCCTCAGTTTAAACATTCCTAACTGTCTCCAACCCATATGTCTTCTCTTCAAGTATTCCTCAAAATTCACCTTTTTCTGGAAGAATGCTGTTTAATCCAGTCATAATGACTAGATTTTGAATCCTGGTAATAAGCACCTTGGGGTTAATATGTGATTGTTTAGATATTTCAATTGAGTACATCCTTCTTAAGTTTTTATGTTACCTACTCTGTCTTTAATGAAAATGTAAAAAAATTAAAATTGGGGATTGTTTCTTTTGTTTTGCCTCATAAGTTTAGTCTATTGTTTATCAATTCTGCTTTAAAAAGTTGCTAATTTTTAAAAAGAATAATTAGTGTAACAACATTCACCCTTAATCACCACTCTAATAGATGTTTTTGTTTCCTTCCAGGCAGTTGTCTATATTTTTAAAAATAAAGGTGTGTGGTAGAGATATAATTTGAGTTTAATATACTGGAAATGTATATCGGGGGCAATGTAATATAGGGAAAAGCTGACACACTTTGGAGTTAGATAGATCTGGGTTGGAATCTGGTCTCAAAATCCTTGGGCAAATTGTATAACCTCTGAGCTTACTTCCTTAACTATGAAATTAGGATAATACGTGGCCTTGAATTGTTGTGAGGATTAAGGTACTCTATATAAAACATCTGGCACTATTTTTTTAAAATAAAAGAGATCAATAGAGTAGCTGATAACATATTTTCTCATTTTTCCATTCCCATTGTCATAACTTAAACAGTTGCTTCGACATTTCACATGATTTATTGATCAGGTGATTGATTTAGTCATTTACCTTTTGTTAAACATTTTGGTTATTTCTAAAGCTTCCAATGTTATAATCTGCATTGAATATATTTGTGCTTGTTTATTTCCCCAGTCTAAAACCCTAGGACTAGGAAAGGGGTCCAGTGGTATGAATATTTCTATGACAAATATTTCTTTTATAAAACAATGGGTGTTCTTGCTTTGGAAAAATGCCAATGCTAATTTGGTTGTAAAATTGTACCTCATTGTTTTAATTAATGTATTCTGAAAAATTGGTTGCCCTTGCCTGTGTGGCTCAGTTAGAGCATCGTCCCATCACAGAAAGGTCACGAGTTTCATTCTTGGTCAGGGCACATACCAAAGTTCCAGGTTTGATTCCCCAGTCCAGGTGCATGAGAGAGGCAATCAATGAATGTTTCACTCTCAAATTGATGTTTTTTCTCTCTCTTTTTTTCTCACACATCAATGTTTTTCTCTCTCTTCTTTCCTCTCTCTCTCAAATCAATAAAAAAGCTTGTCCTTGGGTGAGGATTAAAAAAAAAAAAGAAAGTAAAATATTTGGCTTATTGGTGAATTATGTAGTGAACGTTTATATATAACTCGAGGCCCGATGCACGAAATTCATCCACTGGGGAGAGGAGGAGATCCTTAGTGCCGATTGCGAGAGGGGGCCGGCCAGGCCAAGGGACCCCACCAGTGCATGATTAGGGCTGAAAATGGAAGCAGGAGGTTGGCCAGCCAGGGAGGGACCATGGAAGAGCTCCAGGGCCTGCCTGGCCCGTCTTGCTCAGTCCTGATCAGCCAGACCTCAGCAGCAAGCTAACCTCCAGTCAGAGTGTCTACACCCTGGTGGTCAGTGCACATCATAGCAACTGCTTGACTGGCCGACTGTCTGCCCCCTGGTGGTCAGTGCATATCATAGCAAGCAGTTGAGCAGCCTTAGCATATCATTAGTATAATACACTTTGATTGGTTGAACGGCCAACTGGATGACCAGACACTTAGCATATTAGGCTTTTATTATAAAGGATTGTAAAATGTTCATGTTGTATCTTTCTCACTTTAGCACCAATTTTCCCAAATTTATGTTAATGAAAACTATGTTTATAAATAAATATTGTTAAAAAACAAAATTTAATTGAGTAAATTTAATGATCTCATTGGCTCTCTT